CGCCGACTGCTTCTTCGACCGAAATCCAGATCTTCTAGGTTCTTCACGTCGGTCCAGACAGGATATCCCTGTCTTCTCGTTTCCCACTATCTGACGCATAATCCAGTCAGTCCACCACAATTAGGAATATCCTCGTGGGTGATAATAAGCCAGCAACCTTGTCTGACTCCTGTGTTTACTCCAAACGCCTCGCTGAGTTTTCCGTTGTGGATCACTTGACATGTGGCGTTGTCATACAGCTGTTGAATATGGTTGATGAATATTTAGGGCACTGTACGCCGTAGTACTCAAGTAGTTTCCAAATTACTTCGAGGTCAACGCTGTCTGTTGAAGGCCTTCTCAAATTCTATAAAGTTGAGGTAGAGGTTTGAAGTATGAATTTTAAATTAGTGTAACTGAAATTTGGTACCCTTTTTATCAGACAACAAGTTCTTTTTTGGTGCAACCAAAAGTCGACAGCTATCCCCTTCTCATTTTAGCAACTCCAAATGAGCATATAAATTTACTTGTATCTGTGGGAGAAGTTACATCGGGAGAATAGAAAGAAGGGCACACTCCTTCGATTTTGTGAACACGTGTACCAAAAAGTCTACGTCTCAAAGGGACAAATGCTTTCAACAGGGTTACCGCGTTTGGCCACCTTAATGTGTACTTATCAATTTACTTGCTCGTGTGGAGCAAAGTATATCGGCTGTACGCAACGTCAGGTCCACAAACGTATTCTGGAGCATTTTTCAGCTTAGTTAGCCAAAGGAGAAAAGATGAACAGTAGCAACTCTGGACATCAAGCACACCCCACCCCATCCCCCTTCATGAATGCTTCACAGTGCTACACAGAGTTCCTCAATATCATACGAAAAGACTTAGAATGCGTCGTCTGTACATAGATGAATCATTCACTATTCGGGATCTGAAACCGGAACTCTACATTCACAAGCAGTACATACATTCACTCGCCCTACTGTGACCAGAGTAAAGTTTTTACTACAATTTTGCTTCTTTTTATTATGTAAGTTCAGTATTATTGTCACTACTACTATTATTTATATTATCATTATTATTCCCATCATCCATGTTTTATTATCTATACCTCCATTACTGTTTATTTATAACATTGCGTTTTCATACCGTCTTTCCACTAGTTCCTGTCAACCGTTCTACACGAGCTTATCGGTTAGTCATTATCCCACACTTATTACGTCATGTCAACTTCTGCCTGCCCCTGTTTTCTAACTTCCAATAAGTCAACCCTTCTAGTTTACACCTTACATTGTGTAATGCATTTTTCGAGGACAAATTTTACCAGTATCTGATTGATCTTATGAATTAGGATTTCACAGCTGATGAAAATGAATCGTCGAAAAGAAAATTTCCCCTAGCTGTTTACGTCTTTTTCTTATTACAATGTTACTGCCAGGCATCTTTCTAATACGGATCATGAGGTGGACATCACAAAAATCCTTCAGAATTATCAACAGACAAAACAGCTCAATTCTCCTCAAGTTTACTAAAGCCATCACCATCAAAACACCTAAAACCTGATTTATGCGTTCAGGAATAAGCCGGTTGTCAGTCCTTCTTAGCCCAATTGGTAACTGGATGTCTTTATTTTCCGACCCTTTCATTTGATTACTTAATCTTCGGCTAAAATCTCTTTCCCCTTTCTCCCGGCTTTGATAAAGTGTAATTTTGTTTGTCTTTTGTTTCTATGATTTGAGTTGAACTCAGTAGATTGTTAGCTAACCTACTAGTCACTCATCATCATAAGCAGCTATCTTTGTTACGTAACTCCTGTATCATTGTATGCATAAGTTTACTTTGATTGGACACTGGTAACTACTGTGACGTGTCTAGTCCTTCCTTTGGTGCAGACTGAATTCTACCAGTCAGGTTTGTAATATGGTCACCATTCTAGGTAGCTCGCCATCACGGTGCATATTGATTTTATGATATTAGATGGTTGGAGGCAATCGGCTAAAGGAAGCCTTGCATTACCTAGGTTTCGTGCTAGTTGGCACTCAACAGTCAGCAAGGAGTATCTGCAAACTTGAAGGAACTCATATCCCTTCTGAGATTTGAACCCGCGTCACCCAGTGCATGCTTCAGTCAGAGACGTTACAACTACAGTCCTACATGAGGTCAATCGCAGGTCAGCCCGAATAGCACAGTGGTAACGTCTTTGTCTACAGCACTCACTGAATGACGCGGATTCGAATCTCAGAAGGGAGGGACATGAGTTCCTACAAGGTTGTAGATACACCATGCTGACGAGTGCCAACTTGCACGAAACCTACGTCAGGCAAGACTTCCTGTGGCCAATTGCCTCCAACCATCCAATATCATAAGTTTACTTTGTATAAACTTGAACTCCCTGTGTAGAAACCATATAAGCGTAACTTTCTGAGCACTGTTCATTAAGTTCGAAACTTCCGGTCAACTGACATCATGTAAAATTTGCAAGTATGTTAAAAAATTTTCTGTACATAACTTAATATGAATAATTTATTTAGGCTGTAAGCAGCTGAGTTGATGAGAAGCCAGAGAAATAAATAATGATGGTATCATTGTCGTATTCTACACAAACCACTGTTGTTCACACTTTATTCAAACGGAAGTTGTTGACTGTCCAAAATATGTTAGTTAACGAGTCAATAATCTATTCTGGGCACCCAGAAACGACAACCATCTGCGCACTATGATGTCGCTAACAGTATTGAAGATTCTCAGTGCAGAGTAAGGATCAATCTTCTTCAAGATCATGAAACAGACAGAAGGAAATTTATTTATTTATTTATTTATTTTGATTATTTCTTGATTCCACACCGCATTTTTTTTATACAGGTATGGAATTTTCAGCATGTGATACCGGTGGCTTAAAATTTGCAGGTCAACCATTGATATCAGATGTGCGTCAGCAGGGGATCGAATCCCGGACGATGTTCACGGTTGGAAAGAGTCTTGACCGCTGTGCCACCAACGCACAGATTGAGATGGATCGAAGGTACGGGTTGAGGAGACTGACCTTCCAGTGATAGGACACACACACAGGATGCTCATGTGGAATCTCAATGAGAAGCGAGAGACGACGTGTTCATTCAGGTGTGAAAGTTTACGAGCAGTTTTGTGAAGACAATCAGCCGAAATATAATGATGATAATAATAATAATAGTAATAGGTACGTTCTGAACAGTAATTTATATAATGTACAGAATTTTCAGCGGAGTTTATCATAATGATATTTTATCTTCGTCTAGAATCTTTAAATAAAAGATTAATTAACGACAGTAGATGGCGTGTGACACAGTTCTATGTGACCTGAAGAGTGAACCAATTCACCATTATGATATCTCTTCTTTTCCTCCTTCAAGAATTACACGACGATATTTTGTTGAATGTCAACTACAAAAAGTTCACGAGTACATTTTGTGAACCAAGAACACTCTACTCAGGAACAGTCATCTCATGTAAACTGGGATAAGCTGTCATCCATCGAGGATAATGCTTTTTTAACTCATGTTTAGTAGAAACTTGTGAAACCACAGGTTGTACGTGTTTTAAATACTCGTCAGAGTAAACAATACTATCAGAGATCATACTTTACTGGATTTAAACAAACTGACTAAGAGAAACTACATGGAATATCCAATATATTGATGGAGGTTGTGGGTAGCCACTTATATAATACAAGACAAACTTGATAACACTGGAGTTATATTCTACTCAGAAAAGAGGTTAACAATGCTTTGCCATTGGAAGCTCCTGGGTTCGAACCCTGACGGGGGGGGGTGCGTACTGCCGATGATTCTCAAACTAGGCTGGCGAAACAGCTGGCCAGTACTCCTCTTTGTGGCTGGTTTTCAATGGTTCTCTCTCTAACTGATATCAATCCGTGATCAACTCCTAAAAACAAAACTAATCCTCACAAACCAACTATAGAAAATAAAATGCATCTGTTCGACCACCGAGAAATCCTGTTGAACTCGAAAAACTTGAAAAATCATCAGCCATCGGTTATGTACACGCTATAGAATCAGGCCACAAAATTGATTTTGAAAATATTGAAACAATCCAGAAAAAGCATTTCAGAAATCACAAACAACGTTTGATATCAGAAGCACTTCATATCAAGTGCAACCCAAATTGTCTGGACAGGAATGATGGACTAAAACAGAATCTGACGTGGTTACAACACCTCCCCTCCCTCCCCCATGAAGTAACAAAATCAACTCGAATGTGACAAGCAAGTTCACTACGTAAACATACACTACTTTTATAATTTTACACACTAATCAAATCCAAGAATCTAGACTTGATTTTGTTATCTTTACCAATTCACCAACCTGACAAAGAAAAATTACCCCAGATTGACAAGCGATGATCACGTTAGTAAACTTTGTTTTGATATCATAACGGACGTACTATTGCCTTTGTTATTTTGACTTTCGATATGTCCCTTTACCTTGACCTAACTTGTCTATTTTCTCACCTCTTAACTCTTCGTTAGATATATGCTGAGATTTTAAAAATTCCAGTTTAATAATACTTTGATGAAGCTATTAGCAGCAACATTAAATAGCGAAACGTCAGTAAAACCAGCGATATCGTTTTGTTTTTCATTCATTGGGATGTCCCACCTACGAAAATGGTTGAGGTCGCGCTAAATCACGAATTGGTAGAAGTTAGAATTCATGCAATGACCACTGTTTCGGGTCTCAGTGGCTTAATGATATACGAGCTCGTTAGCTTTTTAACCAGAAGGTCTTGGGTTCGAATCATGGCGGTGAGTGCGTACGGTCGATGATTCCCAGACTAAGCTGGCAAAACAGCTGTCCAGTACTCCTCTCTGTGGATGGTTTTCAATGGTTCTCTAACTGATATCAATTCATGCGTGATCACGTCGTAAAAAAAGCAAAAACTAATCCTTACAAACCAACCAACTATAGAAAATAAGGTTTAACCAAAATGAATGAATGAATGAAGGAACGAACAGTTATACTTACCTTTAATCCAACACCAACACCTTTACACGCGATAACTGACAGTGAACCAATACTTCCACTGATCAGAGTAAATACAATTGGATTTGTTTTACCATAACGTGGACCAAGAATAAAAATCAATATACCAGATAAGATAATAACAAATACACCATAGACAATAAAAGCTGCAGGAAAAGGTAAAAGAAGACAAGAAATGAAACGGTATACAGGATCAAATTTTGAAGAGTTGAACAGTTGCTGAGTGAGAATGATTACTCAGAAAAATTGATCGATAAGCATACGAACCGAAAGCCAAGACAGGCCAAAAGTAGCAACACTTCCGAAAAGTGAACATCTTGTTTTTACAACTTCAGTTCCTCAGTTATGGTAATAAAATCAGTGAGAAATTAACACAATGCCTGAGGAATACAATGATAAAAAGAGCAGTCTATGCTGCTGAAGAAAGCTATCTCTTCAAAACCACCCACCCATCCACACCTATTTTACTTTCACGACTTAAAGATTCGCGACTACCTTAATTTCGCCTTTTCTATGTGCATCTATCAGTTTGACTGCTCCTGTTGAGTTGAGTCCCGTTACAGAGGTCATACAGTTTGGCGTGTTTATCATCGGATTTACAAACACCATCCTGCATAGTGGTTAAGTAAAGGAAAAACAAAGTCTATTCGTAGAGCTATTCTATTTCACTCATCTTGTGGATACAGAACACAAGATTGATGTCAACAAGGCTTTCAAATAGAGGTGGATTGCCCATACTCTGAGAAAACAAACCATCAAGTGAGTGACATCATACATCATGCCATCGGTGTCGCATATGACTACTATTCTTTTTCTCTCAGTCGGTGGCACAGTGGTTAGGACTCTCGCCGACCACGCACATGGTCCGGGGTTCGAGCCCACGCCGGCGCACACCTGATATCTATGGTCGGCCTGCAAAATTTGGGCTACCGATATCCATGCTGAAAATTCCATACTTGTACCAAAAATACAGTGTGGAATCAAGCTGTAAATGAAAAATCAAAAAATCAAATCATTATCTCGGTGCTACTATATGGATCAGAGAATTGGCCAGCACGTTATGAGGGGAACTTCGAAAAAACTACACACCTTCATCAACACCTGTCTTCGCTCAACATTAGATGATCAGAAAAGGTCAGCAACAGGGATCTCTGGCAATGAGCGAACCAACCCACCAGGAACTAATTATGCAACAAATATGGAGGAAGAAATGGAGATGGATTGGCCATACTCTAAGAAAAAAACCATCAAGTGACATCACACGCCAGGTCATCGCTTGAGTGGAACCCGAAAGGGAAGTGGCGAGTTAGTTGGTCGTCAATGCGACGGTGGGGTGACATGGAGGAGGTTATGAGAAAAGGAGATGAAAGCATATGGGCAAACAGAGAGCCAGGTGAAAACGTTGTCGGGGAACCAAACACAATGGAGACGTGCGGCTGAAGCCCAATGTTCCTCTAGGAACTAAAGGAGACCAGAATAATAAATAATGATAATAATGGTCTACACGAATTTTTTTCTCTACTTTTGAATGCGCCATATGGAGTGTGGCAATTTCAACAGTTGCACTTCTGTACAAAGTTGTATGCTGGAACTCAGTGAGCCGACCAGCAAGATGTTTTACGTTGTATCGATGAATACGATGAAAAAGCGTTATGTGTGGAATATTCTTCAGTCAAGCTTTATCACATGGTTCAGGGTTCGATCGCTGGCCAATGTGCTTTAAAACTTCTGCTTAACCAGAAAACAACAAAGGTTGGTTAGGTGTGAGGTTAGTAAACTCGAATCTCGTGAAAAATAAATTTCACTATTCTTCAAGTGTTGGCTTGTAGAGATTTGATTGATTACAGGATTTCATCATGAGCTGACATTAGTCAGAGAACCGTTGGAAAACCTGGGAGAACTGGGTAGCTGATTCATCCTAGTTTGGGACTCTTCATCAGTACGCACCCACCTCCAGGGTTCGAACCCAGGACCTTCTGGTTACAAGGCCAGTAGGCTCGTAGACCATTAAACCACTGGGACCCGATCCAATGACCAGCCCATGAATTCTAACTTCTGCCAATTCACCACATAGCGCGACCCCTCGCCAATGTCTTCGGTGAGTATTTGTCCTCACCTCCGACCTGCTGCATTGTTTTACTGTTCAGTGAAACTTCAAGCCTGATACCTGAAGTCCAATATTCCACTGAGAATGCAAAGGATTAAAATAATTAAAAATAATAATCAAAATGCTGAACAGATTAAACATTGCGGATGATGAATAAAAGTGGGTTGAGCGTGAGCTATGTGTGTGACATCAAAGCACTGCACAGAACTAAATCCATTCAATTGAGAACTTAAGAAGCATTTTTGACCTCAGATAACTTTATTTTTTAATAACAAAAACGGTCAAGAAAACATAAAGACGGCCTGCGTTTATAAGTATTTTACCAAACTGTACATGGATTTAATTTGAATAATAAACAAAACACAAGAAAGGAAGTGATCTAATCGATGAGGAGGGTAAGGGTTACTCTATTACTCCTATAACTAGCGGTAGTTATGATTATTATTAGTGTTCCCTGGGGTTTTCAGTAGGACATACGGCTTCAACAGCACATCTCCACTTTGTTCTATTTTCTGTTGTCCTGTTCAACCGGGCCCACGATTGATCATAATCTCTTATCTGTCCCTCCTCCTCAACACACGATCTCCTCCATGTCACCCTTAAAACAATGCCAAACTCGTCGTTCCCCATTCAGGTCCCACTCGAACGACAGTCTGCATTGTGCATGTCTGTCTGTCTATTTCCGACACACAACTTTGCACAGATGTGCGACGGTCCGAGTCGCCACACTCCACACCATGTAGCACACAAAGCAAGAGAAGAAAGTAGAAGAAATGCATAATAGAGATGGAAACAGAGGTGTGAGACAAAGGAATAGTAATAACGAAGAACAAAACAGTTTCATTGGAAATCATAAGTCACAAGGAGTGGATGCATCTGTGCCACTGAGAACGATTTTAAGCCATATCACCAATTGTTTCCAACCATTGGTTTTTACCGTCCCGACGACCCCAACCAGGAAGCCTACAACTTCCTAAGTGGCCAGCTTAAAATAACTGTTGTAAATTTCATTGACTGACGAGGCCATGTTGTGGTTTGACCGGGACTAGCCCTTTTCCAGCCTGACCCTATGTCAGCTAACATTGCTCGTCGAGGAAAGCGATGACTAGGCGTACACAACACATGTCCTAACCATCTCAGTCGATATAATTTCACAGCCTTGTCGATTGATTTCCCCTCCTCCCTACCTAGCACTCGACCGATGCCTAACATCAATATTGCTCACCTTATTATGCCACCACTTCACACGGGAGATAGAATGCAGGACCTATAATCTAAGACAGCTAACCAGGTTTTTCATGTCTATCACTCCTAATGGCCACGTCTCGCAGCCATTAAGGAGGACGAAGTGAACTACTATGCAGTACACACGCCTTTTGGTCGACAGCCAGCTTGATATCACGTCTGCGCCAGAGTCGGCGTTAACTGGAATATGCGAAACTAGCCCTCTGTATCTGTGCTGAGATTTCGTCGGAGATCAACCCGTTGGGGCTGAGCCCCACCCACTAAGCAACATCTTCAGAGCATACTTCAATTTGAATTGAAGTGAGCTTTTAGATTTCTCCACGAGTTTATCAGTCAGTCATCTCTCCTGGTGACCTTGAACGTGACTGATTGCACTTGTGTGTTTCCATACCTTGTAGGCTAACTGTATCGGAACTGATTGTTTCTTTGACTTGAACTTTGACCCTTTGTGTGTGAGGTTTCTTTCTTATCGATTGATAAATTTTGTCTATCTCAATGTGTCTATTGATTGACAATTCACTGGAATACCAGGCAGCCTTCTAAAAATTCTCTAGTATTCTTGTCGTTGTTTCCTCCGTTTAGTAGTTGAATACTGTCCCATTTGAATTGATGTCAATGATTGTATGCATATAGTGATATGAGGAAGTGAATGTCATGTCTTTTGACGACAAGTTTATGTTTATGGATATGAAGACGAAGGGGACGCCTACTTTGGCCAATGTAGTGTTTTTCTCAGTTGTTACAATTTATTTTTTAGATGATGTTGGTTTTATCTTCTTTCGCTGTTGAGTCTTTTGGTTGACATAAAATTGAGTGAAGTGATTTTATTGGTTTCTGTGCAAAGTCAATTCTTAAAGGTTTGAAAAGTCTTGCAGTGATTTCTGAGGTGTTCTCTTTTGTGTATGTTAGGGCGATTTTCTTTGCGTTTTCCTTGGGGGCCTTTGATTTGGTAGGTTGGTTTGGGGGTAGATGTCTTTTGATGAAATTCCGTGGATATCCATTCTTTTGGAAGACGTCCATGAGATATCTTTCTTCAGTTTTCCTTAAGGTGGGAGTGCTGCAATGAGTCCTTGCTCTCTTGAATAGTGTTTGTATGCAATTCCTTTTGTGTGTTATTGGGTTGTTGCTGTTGTAATTCAGTATTTGGTCTGTGTGAGTTGATTTCCTATAAACTTGAGTTTCTAATTCTCCTGTAGTTGTTCGCCTGATTAAGACGTCCAAAAATGGTATTTTGTTCTCGGATTCCTCTTCTCTTGTGAATTTGATGTCGTTGAAGACGTTGTTTATTAAGTTGTGAGTTTTATCTAATTCGTTTCTTTTGATGATTACAAATGTGTCGTCGACGTAGCGTATCCAAATCTTGGGTTTGATCTTTGGTAGAATTATATTTTCGAGTCTTTGCATCACTGCTTCTGCAATCAAACCTGATGTTGGCGATCCCATGGGTGTTCCCTTGACTTGTTCATATATTTGGCCGTTGAATTGGAAGTATGTTGTTAGGCATAGGTTTATGCATTCCATCCAGCTTGTGTGTTGCATTTTTGATTGTTGTGGGAGGTGTTCGTGTGGGACATCCACTCCGTCGCTCATATCACTACATACAGACTACCACAAACATCAATTCGACTGGGACAACCAACATTCAAATATTAGACAGAGGAAACAACGACAAGAATACTAGAGAATTTTTAGAAGCCTGTCTGATATTCCAGTTAATCGTCAATCAATAGACACATCAAGATAAACAAAATTTATCAACCGATAAGAAAGAAACCTCACACACAAAGAGTTTAA